TGGCACCTGCCCGCCAGTGCTCCCTCTCCCCGGGAAAGCCTCGGTTTCTGGCGCAGGGCTTCTTGGAGGGGCCGTGAGGAGCTTTCTTCGTGCCAGGCACCTTACAGGAAGTAGCTCATTTCATCCTCACAGCGGGCTTGCAAGCGGAAGTACTCACCTGAGAGCCCGCTGGGCAGGGGACCAACGGCTTTGGACTCGATTCAGAGCCCACGTTCGCGACACAGCGCATACCTAGATGCTAACCCCTGAGCGTAAACAGCCGTCCCAGCCGCCAAGGGACCTTGGCCTACTAGAAAAGCAAACTCCTTCCTTCAGATGAAATCTTGGGATCCTGTCTAAGGCGCTACAGACATCTCCGGGTGAAGGGGCAGGGGAGGCGGGACCACACAGGCTCACAGCTACTCGGAGCCGGGTTTGCTGCTGCACGTCTGTGATCCCAGCACTCAGGAGGTTGAGGCAGGAGGATCACCGAAAGTTGGAGGCTGGCTTGGAATATATACTGAGACCCTGTCTCAAAGAAACAAAACAAACCAAAAAGGCCCACTTTGAGAGCTGGTGGCCTGGGTGGGGACAAGGGCTCAGAAGAGCACACCTGCACCTGGCTCTGCCCTTTCTGAGCTGTTGGGTGGAGCCAGGGCCCCAGTGGGTCGCATTTCCCTTTTCTATGGTGAGGGGGCCTCCGGAGACTATGTAGCCACCGTGCATGGGAGGAGCCTCTCCTCAGCCTCGGGTGATGGCTCTGTGCGATGACGATATTTGCAGGTATCAAGCTCAGCAGGGCAGGCATCGGGCCAGTCTGTCAGCTGCCCCACCACAGGGAGCGGGCATCAGGATCCCATTGTATTGATTAAAAAAATAAATAAACAACAACAAAACCACCAGAGACTCAGTGGGGTTAAGGGAAGTGACAAAAACAGGGCCTGAAGGGCCATCTGTGACAGTGACTCGCTGCTCCAAAGCGAGTTCTAAAGCCCTAGTGCTGAGCCAGGAGTGGTGGTGCATACCTGGAATCCGCTGCCACCCTCCAGAGGACCTGCCCCTGTTCACCTCAGGAACCATGTCCCCCACAAACTCCATCATTTCCACTGCTCAAACTATACTGGCTTTCTGTTCTTCAAATGCAGCAAGCTTACTCCTACCTCAGGGCCTTTGCACTTGCTCTACCTTCCACCTTGAACACTCTACCCCCAGACATATGCACCGAGGACTCCACTTATGTCACCAGGGTTGGGTTGGTTGACAGGGTCTCCAAGGGTGGCCATTCTTGCTGTGACAATTGCATATGGCGGTTGGTATTTCCAGGTGTTTTCAAATGCATGGCCTTAGTTACTAACTCCTAAGAAGAACACCTAACTTCATTTTACAGATAAGTAAACTGAGACCTGAGGAAGATAAACACTTTACTTATCAGGACTGAGATAGGGGCCGGAAACTTAGCTCAGTGGTTCTGCTGCCTGCCTCGCAAGCACAAGGTCCTGAGTTAGATCCCCGGTACCAAAAAAAAAAAAGACTGAGATGGGAGCCCAGGACACCAAGAGCATCTGACTGACATTCATGATGTGCTAGGATCAGATGGAAAAGAGAACAGATTACAACAAAGTTATGCAGAACCCAGGGGGCTGAAGTGCCTACCCCAAGGGTCAACTGTGGAAAGGTCCCTAGTGAAGGGACACACGTACCCCACTCACAACCTTGTCACACGTGTGGACCACAAATGCAGCTGACCCAGGCCAGGAAGCGGAAACTGAGGTACCGAGGTACAGTTCCAACCGGGCGGGCTCTTCACAAACAGTAACTGAAGGTGATCCCACAGATGACACAGTGAGGGTGAGGGTGAAAACACTCTCAGCTCCAAAGGCTCATCCCGGAGTCTGAGCTGGGAGGGTCCTGTCTGGACAGGAGGTTGTGCACCAGAGACACGGGGGTCCCTCGACTCACAAAGGTCGGTGGACTCTTGCTGTCAGTCAGGAGTGTCCAATCATCAGCGACAAAGCATCAAGTGCACAGCCCAGAGGGGAGGAGCAGGATGGTCCCATTCACACCTGGTGAGGCCCTGGGACCCCACCTGAGGCTTTCCCTGGACTGGAGGGGCAGGAGGTACGGGGCCCATGCTCAGGGCAGAATGCCCAGGTTGGAAAAGGGACAGGAAATTATGACATAAAGAGCCCCACTATCCCCTGCACCCCACAAGGACACAGCAGGAGGGAACCCTCACCACGGTCTATGAAGAACTGGCTTCACAGGACAACTCTGCCACAGCCTTGGTCTCAGCCTTCCCAGCCTCCAGAACCGTAAGATGAAGTTCCAGGGACGGGGCTTTTTGTTACAGCAGTGAGAATGGACTGAGACTGTCTAACACGCACTCCCTGAGCTCAGGGAAACAGTGGCCCCACCAAGCTGCCCTCGGGAAATCATTCTGAACATCTGGAGATGAGTCCTCTTCCCACCTGGTGGGAAAATGTCAGACTGCAGCTGGGCTGCTCAAAAACACTCGGGCCAGGAATTGGTGAGTGTGCCGGCTGAGGACACAGGCACTGGGGTGCGGTGAGGTGATCGCTGCCACACCCTAAGATCTCAGGATTCCCATCCCCACCTTCCCAAGGGGTCCTCGGCAGGCACCTGGTGAGGGAGGGGCGGCGACAGCCACCCCCACTTCTCTAGAGGGGACGGAGGGCTCCTGGGTATCTCTCTCTGCGGTGAGAGACAGCGCAGATGGGACGCTTCCCTCAGGGCCACACTGCCTTCCCAGGACACGCAGAAGGCCCTGACGGGGCTCGATGCAAATAATGCTAGATTTCCTGGGCTAAAATTACATCTTGAGTCAATTTTCATAAAACGTAGTGACAGATTTAGGTGCTGGGAAGATGGGGATTTCTCGGAAGGCATCAAACTGACCCGAATGGTTAAAATCAGCTCAAACCTGGCAGCCAGGGCTGCAAGAGCAGCCACCACTCGCCTGGCCCTGAGAGGCGACTTGACCCCCAAGGGCAAGGATTGTCAGTGAAAGGCAGGAAGTGGCTGCTGTCTACGGGTCAGAGTGGCTGCGCCTCTTGGGAAAGGGGCCAGCCGCCAGGATCTCCAGGAGCCCTGGCTACCCCTCGACACAGGCAGCCGAGACCCCTCGGTGCCCCCTGCCTGTGTCTCCCAGCCGCAGCCCTGCACGCAGCCAGGCTCAGGTGCCCGAAGTCTGCATCGGGCGTCTCTGTGCCCCATGCCCGGCCTCCCCTCTCCAGCATCCCCCTGAGGGTCCTGGAAATCACCCCACATAATCCCCAGCCTGCGCCAGTCACAGCCCCCACAACTGCCACCCCGAGAGTCACCAGCCTCCTGGTTTCCTTAGACCCTGCTGCTGTCATTCACACCATAAATGTCCCCTGCAGGTGCATGAGCTAAAGGCTCGGTCCTCAGGGTGCTGAGGCGGTGGGGCCCAGGGAGAGTCTCTAGGTCCCTGGAGGTGACCCTGGAGGGAACAGTGGACACCAGTCTCATCTTTCTCTTGGCTCCCATTGTGAGTATTTCAAGCCCGAAGCTATGGGGCCATCTGACCATGGGCCAGGACCTCCAACACCACAGCCAAAACAAGCCTTTCCTCTCTGCACTCAGAGTCTCTGGTGTTCTGCTGGTGACCGGGAGGCTGACTAACTCTCTCGTCCCTTCCCCTGACTACACACGGTGTGGGTGGCCTCTCCTTAGGCCTCCCTCCATGAATGCCGCCACGGTCGCTGGTGCACCTCCCCGACACCCTCCCAGTGCACACTGGCAGCCCTGCACCCCCGCGATCGACTCCATGCCCGAGGCCAGCCCTCCCTCGTTGGCCCAGGAGGCTGAGGCAGAGACACTCACAGTGCCTTCCCACTTACTGCTTCCCGAGCCAGAGAGCTTCTGCTGGGATTCAGATGCCACTGGAGAAACCCCGAAGCCTGTCAGAACAATTTAGCCGGGCACGGCATCCTGGCCGAGTCCGGTTCCCTCAGACTCCACTCTCTGCGATTCCTCTCAGGACCCGCGCACATGGGTCTCCCCGGCTCTGGCTCTCAGCGACTCTCTTCTCTCCACCGGTCTCCCTCTTTTCCCCAGCACCCGGCTGCACAAAGGCCGCCTGTGTCCCCTGCTCCTCCAGGGGGTGCGTGTGTCAGCTGGTCAGGACTAGACCCCCGCACCCCCAAAGCAGTGGACGCACAGAACCGCAGGCAGCGAGTCAGTGACAGAGTCACGACGTCCACCGCCCCTCCTGACTGACGCCCTTCCTGATGCACGAGCATTAGCACATTGCTGGTTCCTGGGAAGCTCGGCCAAAGGCCTCGACAGTAATTAGCTCACTGAAGTAGGCTAAACGTTTCCTAGCAATCTGCTTTATGCTTCAGCGGGCTTAGCGCTGCGGAGAAGATAAAACGTCACTTCAGCCCAGACCCTCTGGAATATTTCCCAGCCCCAATTCACCCCTTTCGGCCATTTTCTCCAGCCAAGTCTGGTGCGGGACAGAGCAGGGCTGGTGACGTCCCAGCCGAGTCTCCAACTGGCGCCTGCGGCATGGTGGACAGGGCCCAGGGCGGGGCTGCCGAGGCCAAGAGCCACAGCTTCAGTCCAGGCACCTCCTGTCCCAAGCGTGAGCCTCTTCGGATCACCAGGAGCAGCAAGTTCAGCTTCCAGCCCTCAGGGGGCTGTGAGGGCCACAGGACACCAACGCTAGCGTGAGGCCCAGCAAGCGGCCCAACCTCCCAACAGAGAGGGAAGCCACAGGGACTCCCAGGGCCTCCCCCCGCCCCGTCCCCTCAGCTCCCTCCCACAGGAGCCCAGCTGTGTTTCTGAGCCCAGGCCACCAAGCGGGTCACCATGGGCCTGGATGCCTGTCTCCCCTCAGACCCTCAGACCCTCAGACTGGGGTCTCCTGCCTGCCCTCCGCCTCCCCTGCTGCCTCCGTGGGACACTCCTGGCGGGGTCTCTCCAGCCCATCTGGGGGACCCGATGGCATCCAGGGGAAGGGAAAGGGGCGAACCTACCTCCCGCCACTGTTTGTTCTCCATCCCTTGAGTGTACATGACGCACACTGCAGAGGAAAAGAAAGACAGGTCACCGTGAGGGCTCAGAGGAAGGCAAGACCCCGGTGGGGAGGCTGCGCAGCAGAGTGCCGGCCACCTTTAGAGCTGGCAAGGTCTCCGCGGTCAAGGCTAGACCCCTGCACCCCCAAAGCAGCGCCTGCCCTGCCAGACCACAGCCACTCAGGCTCAGGAGTGTTCTGGTTCCCTAGGACAGAAGCCTTTGGGTCCCAGACACCTCCGCCCTTCCCGGCCTGCCGTTCTGGGGCATCCCAAGGAGTGGGGCGACAGGGAAACCCCCGAGCTCTCTTCTGGAGCATTCAGCAGCCCTGACGTGCGGGGACAGAGCCAGGCGCATACTGAGTGCTGCCCCTGTTGGTCATGAGGCTGCTGCTGTCACGGTTACCCCCATCGCAACAGGACTTACGTGGGTCAGACTTGGAAAACATGTCTTTGTCCAAGAGGTTCCTGAAAGACAGGAAAGAGGAGGAATCAGTGGGCTGAGGGCAGGGGCCCTAGGGGCAGGCCGGTCCCTGCCCGGAAGCTGCCTCCGGCCCGGCCTCAGGCAACACAGGAAGGGAAGGCAGCTTCTGGGCAAACTTTTATTAAGCTTCTCAACCGCCAGGCCTGGGAGCTGCTCCAGGTCCCCTGTCTGCAGCTGCTCGGTGCCCGCCCTGTGCCACCCTCACTATGGCGCCATAGTCCCCTCAGGTGGCACCGGGACCCCAGGCCTCTCACTGGCCAAGCCCTTTCTAGAAAGTCTCTTATCACGTTTCTGCCTCAGTCGTCAGTCAGTCAGTCAAATCGCTCACGCAAAACCACCCACCCCGCCGCTCAAGCTCTCAGGGCCTCAGTTTACTCCACACTTCCATCTGTTCTGGGGAAGTAATGCACCGTACCCCCAGGGGATGCGCTGGGTACCCCTGGGCAGATGCTAACCCAGGCCCCAAGGGTCCCACGGGAAGGCACTGCAGACACAAACACACAACTTGGGGAGGGGATATAGCTCAGTGGTGCTGCCGCCTGCCACACACACACAAACGCGAGTTCCTCAGAGACACAGCTCCCGGCCTCCTCCAACCCTCAGGCTGTCCGGCCCGCAGGCCACTCCACCTCCCTCTCCACAGCTCTGCCTCCTCCAGATGCCAGGTCCTGCCCACCCCACGTCCCCCACAGGTCCTTTCCCAGGGAAGAGAAACCGTCAGTCAGCCCTGGTGCAGCTGCTGCCTCACAGCCAACTCCCAAGGAAAGAGCTGGTGGAGTTCCTGGCGACCATCTCTCACCTCTGCCCAGGAGAGGGGAGGCTGAGGCCCAGGAAGAGGCAGGAAGTGGCCATATCCCACAGCAAGGGCAGAGACAGAAAGGCCCTGAGTCACCATCGCTGTCACCGGTCACCCTCAGCAGTGAGACTGTAGGGCAATCTGACCCAAGAGTCAGCCCCACCACCGGCCCCAACCTGGGTGCAAGCCAAAGACAGACAGACAGACAGACAGACAGACGGATGGATGGACTCAGCAGAGCCCGGTGCCAACAAATGGTGAACTCTGATGCCAGGGCAGGACCAGATGTGGGTAACCCCAGCTACAGCGATGTCCCCAAGAGAGGGGCGGCCTATGGGAACCCAGCAGCTGTCCTTGGGAACCATGCCAGACACCTCCAGCCCACAGGAGCTTGGGGAAGTGACACAGGGGCGGCTGGGGAGGGCGGGCGGACACCCCACTGGGCCTGGCTGATCCTGGCTGTGCAGCTCAGGGCAGGGGCGCGTCTGCCTGATTCCAGCAAAAGACAAAATGCCTCAGAACGGAGGGAGAGTCCAGACCGCCAGCGCTTCCCCTGCGATTTCTGTTTAGGAGAGCTCAGAGACATTTTTTTTTTTTTTCCTAACAGGAAAGTATTTTTTCCACCAAAAGAGCATAAAACCCTTCAGCTGTCTGCTCAACAGCCTGGAGCTTGGCTTCTTTTGTTCCCGAATCAAGGCCAGGAAAGCAGAGCCAGGCCCCTCTGCTCCTGGCTCCCCCAAAGGAGCGAAGAGCAATTCAGAGGCGCTGGAGCTCAGGGATCACCCGGGTCCCAGCAAAGGCAGGAAGCACAGGAGGACAGGATTAGGGCCCCCGCGGGTGAGAGGTGGGGTGGGGCTGGGGACGCTGAGCCGCGTGACCCGCACACCTCCCGGGTCGTCCCTGCACAGCCCACAAGCCCACAAAGCCGCCTCCACACGCGGGGCAGGGGCCGGGTGGCCACACAGACAGCAGCACAGGAGGAGACGGCGCCCTCTGCCCTTGCCTTCTCCCGGGCCAGGGACCTTGTGGGGGCCGTGCACCCCTGACTCTGGGCAGGTGGCCTATGGGTTTGCACACACAGATGCGTTCTTTCAGCTTTCCAGAGACATCCGGAAGAAATCCGGTTTCTCTCCTTCCCCAGACCCACCCTGGCCACCCCCAACTTCTGGGGGGTGGACCCCGAGAGCAGATTTGGAGCCTGACTGCTGGTCCCACAGCAGCCCCTTCCTCTCCAGCTGCGTGACCTCAGCCAAGCTTCATCCCCTGCACCTCAGGATCCCCAGGGTTTTTCCTGGGTTAACGGGGTTCACATAGGCAAAGAGGGTACAGCGGTGCCAGGCACACACTAGATGGCAATTCAGGGCCTGGAGTACAGGAAGTCAGTACAGGCCAACAGAGGTCAACTGTGGCACAGGGAGGCCTCATTCACCCCTCGCTGCTCCCTAAGCCCACCCAAGCCTCTCCTAGCTGCAGGGAGCTCAGCTGGCCAGCAGGGATGTGTGGAAAGCTTCTCCTCCGGCACGCGTCCCCTGTTCTTCCGGCTAGCCAAATCCACACTGGTTCAGAGCTGATGCAGGCCCTGAAATCCTAGTCCATGACCCCTATCTTTGGCTAGGGGTAGCATCAATCAGCTCCGGCCACTGACATAGAAAGGAAAATCTGCTAAGAGGTCTTCGGAGGGATTGTGCTTTTTCATAAAACTCTGTATCTTGTTTCCCATCCTTGGATGTGGTTGAGATGCCTGGTACAGAGGCAGCCCCACAATGGCATGAGGCCCACCATGGGTATGATAGCAGAGGAGAATGATAGTTGGGTCCTCTGTGGAAAAATGAGCCAACAAAACAGCCAGAGATGACTTAGCTCTAAACTCACTGTGATCGGAGAAAAGCACATCTCTCAGGCTTGAGGACATGGTGGCGCATGCCTGTAATCCCAGAATGTGGGAGGCTGAGGCAGGAGGATCGCCACAAGTTTGAGGCCAGCCTGGGCTACATAGTGAGTTCAAGGCCAGCCTGAACTGCAGAGCAAGACCTCGTCCCAAAAAACAAAAACAAACAAACAAAAAAAACCTCTCAGGATTATACCATTACCAGTCAGATTTTCTGTTACTTCCAGCTGATGCATTCCTAACAAATGCGACCCGATCTGCTCTGCCACCGTCGTCCGGCCTCCTTTCCCCGCTTCCTCCCTGCCCTGCACTCCCCACAGTGGGTCATCTCCATCGGTGACCTCGGGCCGAAAAGGGAGATTTCAGGCTGAAGAGGAGGGACGACGCTGAGATCGGGCTCCCACCTGCCGAAGCTGGTACCTGGGTCCCATCCCTGGTCTCCATGGAGACCCCACCCCCAACCTCAAGAAGCCGTCAAGGTTTTGAGGTCCAGGGAAACTGGACTCGGACCCCCTCCCCCAAAACGGACTGGCTGTGTATCCTTGGGTGGGTCTCTCAACATCTCTGAACGCTGATTTCCTAATCAACAAGCAGAGGCAAACTAGTCCCTGTCTCACAGGAGTGTCCTGAAGTCAAGAGGCTGCAGGGCTTGACAGGCAGAAATGTAAGGTGGTCCTAAGGTGCCCGCCCCCAAGAACAGGCCTGAATAGTCCCCTTGCGGGTATGAGACTGTCACTCAGAGAACATCCCAGGTTACAGGGTGCAAAAGGTGACGGGACGTCTGTTCCCAGGATTACAGATTTACCACTACCCGCGACGCTGCCGCACACGGGGGAGTCAGGATCCTCTGGCTGTGCAGTCGGTGAAAGGACCAACTGGGGGACCAGCAGACACCTCCTCAAAGCCAAGTCACCGTCCACCCGTCACCCTGCAGCCATAAGGAACTGGACCCTGCCAACAACTGGAGATCAGAGCCCTGCAGACACCTAGCTGTCAGCTCCTGAGACCCCACGCGGGCTGAGCCGGGACCTCGGATGGATCTGCAGAACCAGGATGGGCGGCCGCGAGAGGCCAAGTGCCCAGGGGGTAGTAAGTGCTCCACGATGCACTGGTGTCACTGCCGTGACTCCGAAACACAGAGCAGAGCAGCCTGGTTAGAGGAACCTCTCTTCCGAGCGCTGGCTGTCGGCAGTGGGGTCCTTGGTCCCCGTGCCCCCTGCCCCGCCTTTCAGGAGAAAGGGCTCTGAGCAGATTCACACCCCTCCCGAGAGGCCCACACAGACAGCAGACAGCCGTATCTCTGCGAGGAGACAGCAGCTGCCCACCAGCCACGCCAGTGGGGGCAGAGGCTGCTGAGACTCCAGGCCTCTCCGTTCCCCTCCCCTGTGGGAGCCAGGACCCCGCGCCCCTGCCCCTGCAGATCTGTGCATGCTTTTCCTCAGTGCAAAGGTTTCCTGTTACATAAAGAATGCAGATCTCTCTCTAACCAATGTGCTGGCCCAGATCCTGCATCAGAGGACAGAGGCACAGAGACCTGAAAAAATCACAGGGCCTGGGTGGTACACCAGACGGGAGAGCTGACAGGTCTGCAGAGCAGCCTGCTGAAAGGCAGGAAAGGTCTGGGACCGACTGTGGGAGGACGAACAGCTTTCCACTCAAAGGAGGAAGGTCTGGGGGTCACGTTTTCTACGGTGTCTGCTGATACCTAGTTGCACAAACCATCTGCCTGGCCCACTCAGAATCATCTCTAAGCTGAGCATGGTGGTACACACCTACAGAATCCCAGCACTTGGGAAGCTGAGGCAGGAGGATCATCACAAGCTGGAGGCCAGTCTGGGCAACATAGTGAGTTCAAGGCCACCCAGAACTACGTAGCAAGACCCTGTCTCAAGAGCCCAAAACCAAACACAAGAAAACTACCTCTTATGTCCAGAACCTGAACAAACCTTGGTACCCACTACAGAGATGGATTTTTATTTACTTCCAAATGTCAAACAATAGATAACATACATCACTAACGTGGATTAAGCCTCACAACTGATAAGGGTTGTTACAGTTCTTTTCTAGAGGGGGAAACGGAGGCACAAAATGGCTAAGTAGCTTTCCCAGCGCCGGCCTGAACACAGTAGACAAATGTCAGGTTTCCTATTCTTAACCACCATGGCAAATAACCAAAGGCTTTCTGATCTTTGGCCCAGAGCGCACCAAAGTCAGGTAAAATAACTGAGTTTGGATTACTGGTGAGCCCCGGCATCATCCACCTGAACCAGGGCCCTAGTGTGTCCACCCCGTGGTGTGGGCTGC